GGGGTGTGGGTCCTGCTCCATTGTTTTGGTTGAAGATTCTGGGGGTAAGTGCACTTCTTCTATGAATGTTCTATAGTAGTTTGTATGTGATGTCTGTGTATAGAATAATTCTTAAAGATCGTTCACCCAAATATGAAAATTGTAATTTACTCAGCTGCATGTTGTTCCAAACCTGTCTTCGGAACACAAATAAAGATATTCTTAATGAAATCTGAGAGATATCTGTACTCTATTGACAGCTACGCAACTACCACTTTGATGCTTTAGAAAGTTAATAAAGGGATCATAAAACTAACCCTTATGAATTGAGCAGTTTAGCCCAACTTTTCTGCAGAGATGATCACTAATATGAACATAATGAATTTAGGCTTTTGTCCACAGAAGCTTAACCAAGCTCAAACTTGCTGCGAAACACGAGAGTGAACCTTATTGGTTCCGTTTATCATATCTAATATGTGCGTTGATTGTTTGTGAATAACATAAAATTGAAACTGTTCATGATATAATGTGATTGTCTCTTCAGAAAATTTGGACAAACCGCTCAATTCATATGAATTAGTTTTACAATCTCTATGAACTTTTTGATGTCAAAGTGGTAGATCCGTAGCTGTCAATGGAGGGAAAGAAAACTCGGATTTCTTCATTTGTGTTCCAAATATGAATGAAATCGTATGGGTTTGGAACGACATGAGGGTGAGTAAATTTTTGGGTGAACTATCCATTTAAATCTATTAAATCTGCACTTTATTAAAAATGAATATCTTTATATTGTAAGACATTGAAATATGAAGTCATTGTGAAAGTTTTGATGCAAGTATCTTAGATCTGAATGCATTTAAAGACTATTTCTTGTTTGTGTTTAGTTGAAGATGCATTGGGGGAAGGTGCACTTGTTCAAGTACTGAGTGTAAGTACGCGTATTATACACATTCTGTCGTTAATTACTTATGGCCATTGCACACTGAGTACGAAATTTTCGTATGCGTTTTTTCGTGTTCGTCAGCCTAAAAATTCGTCACACACAGAAACCTTGCACACTGAGTCCGATGCCTATTTATTAAACCTTTGTGGGGAAAAAACGCAAAAATACAAAAATGGATTCGTCAAGCAGTGAGGATGATTTTGTTGCCCTCTCTCTTATTGAAAAGAGAAGAAAGAGAAAATATTGCGTTTCCGTCCATCCAATCCTGAATTTGCGCCGAGAAGAAGCACCTCCTTATCAAGGAGTTGTGATTCAAAATTTACTTCAGAATATCAGTGGAAAAGTTTGATGCTGGAGCCACATTTTAAAAACAAGAACACCAATTTCCGTGAACCAATCGATTCTGAACAGAGACTGGCAGTATGTCTAAGGTATGGAGACACACACACACGGCCCGGTGGAAGTGCAGGGCAGACCGAACAGCTGTATATAGGCTGTTATATATAGTACCCAAATAATACATTAGTTATCGAATTGGCTGCTCAATCACACCTTTTAATCGATCCAAAATTTCAATCTGATTGAAATAAACACTTGATCGAATTGCAGAACGAGCTCCAGCCCGCCCTGAATTGTCAAAAAACCTCTCAAAATGCTGGCTTTGGATGCGAAAAACGCAGAAAATCGAACCCGATCTGAATTTTTTTTTTTATGATGGACGAAAGATTCGGAGGCAGTGTGCAAGCGTGATTGACATAACGTGAGGTTTATTGACATAACGTGACAATTCACACGTTTTGTTTTTACGTGTGAATTTCGGACTCGGTGTGCGATGGCCTTTAACCTCATGTCGTTCCAAACTCGTAAGACCTTTGTTAATCTCTTTTTGATTAAATCGTTTTCTGAACGTTCTGAGTTTTTCGAAGACCGCTACGTTATTGCAAGTTTCAAGGCCCAGAAAGGTAGCATAGAACTCGTTAAAATAGTCCATGTGACTACAGTGGTTCTACCTTAATTTTATGAAGCGATGAGAATTCATTTTGTGCACTACTTTATTTAACTTTTTTTTTCGCATTGTAACCGCAGTGTGACATGCATGTAATGCTGATTTAGGAGCTGGCCAATAGTGAGCCAGCGTTCTGACGTAGAACCCGGAAGCGCTGGACTGTATAATACGCAAACAGCATAGGAGATCTTGCACCGAGAAGAAATTGTTGAATAAAGTCATTATTTTTCTTTGGTTTTTTTTGGTAATGGAGCATTTCTCCCATTTCAACATTAATCTTTATTGAAAGTGGATCATTATATGTTGTCGAAATGTAAAAGAATTTTTTAATTTGTTGCCCTCTTGACTGAGAAAAGACCGAAAATAACCGAGTGGTGCATTTGTATGTAAGACAACAACTCCCACAATGCACCACATTGCACAGCTCTGACTGCAAGCCACACCCACTAATCCGGAACAGTGCAAACAGAGAAATCACTCTTCAAAGGCTAACGTTAGCTGTCACCAGAGTTTGAAATTCATTTTCACACAAAATTTCTAGTTAGTTTGCTGTGGCGAGCAGGACGATCGAGATTTGAGGGATGTAAGAGGACGGCGCAAGGCCAGTGGCGTGAGTGATAATGAAAGACACCTGTGAGGCGCGCACCGGTCTTGCGTCTCTCACGGAGGAGCGAAAGCATAAAATGAGGAGCAACAACGGCAGATCGAGAGAGAAACAGGCCTGATTTTATGATGTTTTGTTTCTGTTGTGTGTAACGTTACAGCAGTCGTCAATGAGGGGCTGCTGGCTAATACTTTCATTGTTCATTTTACTATTAAAATGTTTTAATGTTTGCCGGTTCCCGCCGCCTCCTTCCGACAACAACAAACCCCGTTAACGTTACGTTGGCAAACTCATAAGTGAATTACTCATTTGTATTTGCTTCTATGTGGTGAATTACTGCGTGATACCTGGATGTTCAGTCAGGTAGGATGGTTCACATCACAAAACAAACGTCAGTGTGCTCGCCTGATTTAGAGATTTTGTTCAGGAGAAATTGCCATCGTTTAAATTCTCTGCAGCAGATGGACTCTATCTGTGTCCGTAGCATGCAGCGAGAGCTCATGCACCAGCAGTCCGCCTCAGCTCGAGCCAGTCCGGGCTCCTCGACCGCGACAGGCAGCCGCCTCCGGTTCCTCCATCAGCCTCAGCTGCTCTTCACTATACTGTGACTCGTAAATACTACCACGAACATCGGATTCAAGCAGCAGAATTTCAAAATCCTCTTCTTCCATATCATGTTTAGTTTCTTCCGTCATTATCATACTTCCTATCTTCACAGCGCTTGTTAGCTTAGCTTCCAAACAAGATGGCTGATATTGATTCAGTATCTGAATCAATGTTGTAGCCTGAGAAGCCTGAATCAATAGCTTGAATCAAAGAAGCCTGTATAGGATTCTTTGACTATCAAAAGTGAAGGTAGCCATTGACTTGCATTATATGAATCACTACTGAAGAAAAAAAGTCAACTACATCTGGGATGGCCTGAGTGTGAGTACATTAACAGAAAATGTTTTTTTTGGTGTTCTATCCTTTTAAATGTTTGTACTCCAGTCTGAACCGGATGACTCCCAAGATGACTTGAATACTTCAGCTGGAGAGCAAAGAGGTTACCCTTCATACTTCATATAAATATGCTTTAGTTTTATGTTTTGGTGTTTTTATCTACATTTTTAAAATGTGACCGTTTAGATGACTGTACCGAGATGAGTACCAGAGTGGATTTACTGATGGATTTCCTTGATGTTGCTCCCCGTGATAAGGTGTTTTGTCTTTTCTCTTGATTGTCTTTCTAAAGTCCTACACCACCCAGTGGCTGAAAGTGTTTCCCTCTTATATCATGTTTTTATAGGTACAGCATGCACATGAGACTGAGCATGAAACGAATACCTTATCCAAGGCGTTTAATAGTATGTCATGTTTGAAATCCATATTCAATTAAAAATAGTTTAATGCAAAGCTCTTCTATTTTAGCAAATATAGAATGTATGTGAAGCATACTAACAGAAACGATGGATTTTTTTTTTTTTTTTCAGTGGATGTTACTGAAGATCTCATTGTTCTGACCAGTGATGATGGAGCAGAGTCTGACTCAGCATCTGATGGCACGGTATTATAAGCTTATTGTTAATTCTTGAACCACAAACATATTTGTTGTCATTTTTAAATATTTCTTAATTTATGAAATTATTACTTTTATTAATTACTCCTTTACTTTAAATACCTCAGCTTCAGGGAGATGTGATGGACATGGAAATCTATCCTGATCCTGAAGAATCTTCATGTTAGTAATTTAAGCATACATTTAAATGAAAGTTTCATAAAGAATCCTAATGCTTTTCTTTGAAGTCATGAGACTATTTCTGGTTTAACTGAACTGATGGTAGTTTGCTTAACAGGCTTACAAGATAAGTCAAATGCATCTGATAGCACCAACTCGGAGAATCTACAAGTCACTCATCTGACCCTGAGAGTTGAGGACGCATCTGACGACGATGTCATTTTTGTTGGTGTTTTGCAAGAATCCCAGGCAGAAGTAGGTGAGCCGGAGAGTGAAAAAGAAAAACAGAAACGTGACTAATGTAAACTTTGTCCCTTAAATAGTTGATTTTGTGTATGCATTTTTTTTTTTTTTTTTGATAATCACAATTGTCTACTTGTTACCTTAAGCCGTATAGTAGCAACAGTAAGCACCGCTGCTTGTTCATTGAGTTAATCTGTTGTTTTCACCTTTTACTGTTCACCAATTTCACTTTGCAGATATGAAGGCTGTTTTGTTTTTCCATTTATTACACAGCCTTTCAACTGTGTTCCTTGTTGGATTCCTAAAACTGTTTCTAAATTATACTTTGTACAAGGATTTTGTTATTTGTTCAGATGCTCATAAAAGTTTACACTTGTGGTGAAAAAGCAATTTGCGGTAACTGGTTAATTTTCTTTAATAAATATGCACCTTTAGTGTGCAGCACTTATACGAACATATCTTAACAGAATGTTATTATTCACTTTTTGTATTGGAAAAAAAAACATACCAAAGGTAAGATATGTTTAATAAACAATCACAAATACATAAGAAAAATTGTGCATTTTGTGGCTGTGCTGGAATCCAGTGAGAAATATTGAAATCCTACACAAGTTTTTAAATTTCTTACTGACCAGAGTAGTGTAAAAATTGATTTCAATAACTTACAAATCAGGAAGTCACAGATTTTAGTTACAGATCCAGAGTTGATCGTAGACTCTAAAAAGGTTTTTTTTCTATGATGTAAAATTGTCAATATATGGTAACATATAAACATGCTATGCTGAATACATTTCACAGTATGGTGTTTGTAAATGGTTGTCTGCTAACTGCCTCCTTGTAATGTTAGAATCCACTGAAAATTGATATAAAAACCTCTGCTTTACATGGCTGTAAAACATTAAGGCACATAACAGGTGTTACATTTATTGCACTGTTTTGCAATGTAGCTGGTAGAAATCCTGAAGTTTTTTCCCCGTTTAAAAAATACTAAATGTAATTTACGTAAGATCACTGTATCTAATCCATAATCCAAATTCAATCGTACTCGTACACCGCATTCAATATTAAGTCTCTTATTTAATTTTCAAAATAGATTGGCCCTTACTCATTTAACTTGATTCTGTTTCATGTGAATTTGCCTTTACATTTGCATTGCACTTTACATAATCATTGTACTGATAAAACATTTCATGTTACTCGATTACATAGATGATTGTGGTATAACAATATTGGTTCCTTGAATCAAGTTGTCATCTTTTCCATCAATTAAAGAATCCCACTTATTGAAGTCTCTGTCCAGAGCTGGAAAATAAAGTTAAAAAATTAAATATTGCAAACAAGTTCACAGTATTAAGTCCGCAAAAAATACTCAAAAAAGCTGAATTGGTTTGGTGAATTGATTTGAAATAAAAAAATTAATTACTGTTTTCACATATTGTAAAATCTTCTTAACAATTTAATGCATCTATTGATTTTGTTTTTCTAAAATCTTACCCCAAACTTCTAAACGGCAGTGTATTACAAACGATTAAACGGAATAGAAAGAGCTGAAACACTGAACCATTCATACTAAAAAAGGTAAATAACTCACTTAAGTGGCGTTGAAGAAAAGCCAAAGTTGCTTTGTTGGAAAGATCCATGGCTATATATGGATCAATCTCTCCTTTCAGTTTCAGGAGCTTTCCAATCCAGTTCCCAGTAAGAAATGTAAAATCTGGGAAGCTCTGATGAACTGTCCCCCTGCCAAAACATTGTAAAGCATAATTAAATGAAGCAAAAAAAAATAATGTGGGGGAGAATGAAAAAAAAATAATAATGAATTACTAACTTGATGGTTATCATTTTTCTGGGAATCATGGCAGAGTCCAGCTTCTTCATACGAATGATATTCCCAATCCACTGGAATTTTTCAGAGTTGATAAAAAAGATTGGCTGCTTTACTCCTGGGAAGATCTCCTCATCCAAGGGAAACATCCAGGAGTCCAGTGCCACGCCACACCTATGAAGCAACATTGATGTGAGGATGATCATTTTGTTTTGTTTTTCACCTTTAAATTTAATGCAAATACTGTTTTCATTAACTTCTTTTTTGTAAATGATTCTCTCTATAAGGGTATTTAGAGCGATAACAAGGTTTCAAATGGTGTGGGTGTATGAAAATGCTTGTAAAGAAACAGGAAAGTAGCAGAAGTTATCAGATATCAGTGTGGAGGATAAAATAAAGGCCAACCGCACTGACTGAAAGTATCGTTTCTCAAACAGCCTGCTAAATATGCGGATAATCTACCCACAATATCTTGTAACTGTAAAAGCATGTCACGATACGTATTGGGACACACCAATCAGCACAAAACGTACTTGAATTTGACATCCTTGCACAAACATTCGATCACTGTCGCGCCTCCGAAGGAATGCCCCATAACCGCTATTCTACACAAGTCCATGGAATTCTGAAATGCAGAAAAGCTCATTACCACCAGCTCGCATTTACACTACTACAATTAAAAAAGTCTTATGGAATATGATCAAGCAGTTTATTTTTTCTTTGTTCTGACAAGTTTAAACTCATTAGTAATATTCACCTCCATTGTTGACAAATCAAAGTTGGACTGTAAGACGTTCTCAACTGACTTTCCTGAATTGATGTCAAAGAGAATATCCAAGGCTCTGATGCATTCATCTGCTCTTTGCTTTACCTGAAACATAAAGGACATTTGATTCATTTACATGGAACAGACAGTAAAATCAATTGTGCACTAGCCAGGACAACAATACATTTTAGTAATTATTTACAAACAAGTCCAATTGTCACTAATACAAATAATAATACATTCCTATTATTGATGGGTTTTCAATGCAAACCAACACAAAAATCAAACATTTCAACATTCAGCAGCAAATTCAGTCATTTACGGCTACAAATATCAGACTAGGACGGATTAGCATAGGAAGACTGTGTTTGAGATATTTGAGGAGTATTGAAATTTCCTCACTTGCTTGTTTCTTAGAGGAAACTCATTCTCCCCTGGTTTCAACGGCCTGTAGTACATCCAAACCTCCTCCAGATTATCAGACACAGGCTTGGCAATGTCACATGACGGATGCCTTTTTGTTCCTGGCTCAGTGTGCTCTCTGAAGTAAAATGTTGCAGAGGCAGATTCATCCCTGAAATTGAAAAGATATTTTAGTGAAAGTAAAAGACACCAGGTCAAAGACAACACATGGTAAAATTTTGTAAATTTTAGTAAAATATTCATTTCATAACCATAAGTGATCTTGAGAGATTTTTTTAGCAGTGTTTTATAGAAGAAAAATCTAATTTCTAGTTTATAGTGAGGCTCAACACACTTCATTCTCTTTATAAATACATGTTTCCCAAAACTGCAATATTACAAAGCATTTCCATTGTTCCACTTTGACTTAATAGTTTACACTACTTTACACTAGTTTGAATTCCGATCACAGTTCCATAACTTTAAAGGCAGTGTTACCGTCGCTGCTGTTAGTCCTGTGTTATGTGTCAGTCCACCGGTAAACACTGTTAAGAATGTGATGACCTAGTTTATACTATTGTTTGCACACTCCTAACACTTTGACTTTTACAACATACAAAACCTTTCAGGTCAAGGAACATTTCTGAACAGTAATTTTGACCATGTCAGTTTGTGGTTAGCAGATATCTCTTATCTCAACACACTGGTCGGTTGGAAAGCAAAAAAGCTTTTACATCTAATAACTGAAAGCAAGCACCTGTGCTCCACGGCTGCAACAATGAAGCCCTGCGACGCCAATTCAACACATATGGCTGAATACAATGTCCTGAACATACAACACACAAAAACACAGTGGGAATGTAAAATACTGCATCAATGGTCAGGTTTTTGTGCCTAAATTTTCAAACCAACCAAACCTGAAAGCTCCCAGTCCATGAGAAAAGATAATGACAGGATATTTCCCATCTGGTTTAAATGATGCACTCCAGGCTGCTGGGATTTTACAAGACCCTAATGTGAACAAACATGCATAAATGGCCATAGCATGACAACAGTGGCAACCAATGTTTTAACCACATATCAAAGAGTCAGGAAGTGGCATGGTGAGCTACTTTTGCATCACGACAAAAACAACATTTTAATTCATCTAAAGGCCCAGCACTGAATAGCCCAATTTTTTTACCAAAGAGGTAGTTGAAAATTCTTTCACTCAGTGTTCTGTTCATCTTCATGAAGTCTGCGAGGCCGTTGAAATATTCTCTGCACGGGACCCAGTCTGGCCGCTGAGGATTCTCAGATGTTTGGCACGGATAGTAGAGTCTCAAGAACGTATCCTTGAAAAAAATATATAGGCTAAATTATATATTAATCTGGTAATGACACACATACAATTCATGTACACACAATTCAAGTACACACTTACATGTACCGTGTGGCCCACCATCAGGTCTGTGCATCCCACTTGGTGGGGTCCTTTTCCTGGCGGGATACTCATAGAATTGTGGCAACTTGAATTACCCATTGCGAAAAGCACCCAGTTCAACTTTGGCATAGATTTTAAACCTGAAAAACATGAACCACGTCACAAGATTTCATGTCACAGCATGAAATGTCATGTCACAGCATGAAATGTCATGCCATTCTCAAACAAGCTTGCTGACTCAGTTCCCACTATGGTCCTTTTAGTTAACTCAGTGCTTGTGAATAACCACTTTTTGGTTTATTAGTCATATGGATACTGTCTTTTAGAGAAGTAATGCGAGTTCACTTGTCTTGTCACTGTATCTGCCAACTTACTGCCCGCACAATAGCAGCTTACATAAATAAAAAGAAAAGCAGTTAAAGCGATGGTCTAAAACTTGAAATATGATTTTTTTTTTTTTTAATCAGTGACGTAATAGGAAGTAGCTGTCAAAATAGAGAAACCAGTGACACAACCAGCTTGTTTACAGTTAACTTAGCATACTAGCCATTGCTATTGCGAAGTGCCCAACCACATTTAAATCTAATTTGTAAGTACCTACCCGACGTTGACTTTGACCATTCATATATCTTCTTGACCAGAGTCAGTTGAACAAGTCTGCCGACAAAATACATCGACGTTAACAGGGCTAACTTACATTAAGCGTCAGCTGAAGTCCAACAGGCGGAGCCTCATCCTGACCCCAAATCGACACGTCTGTAAATTGAGTCAAAGACAGATCATGCTATTTTGGATCAGTTACTTTGTGAACGTGGTTTTAAACAAATCTGTTGTGTTAAGTGAATGATTCGTCGAGAAAACGATTCTCAAAAATAAAAATGCCTGCGTCCCTGCCCTCAAGACGGACTATAGCGTAAGCCAATAGCATTCGAGTGCGGGTTGTGACGCAGCATTTCATTGGTTGCACTTACTAAACGAACACGCCCCTTCACTGAACAAATCTGTTCATTTCAGAAATTAAGATTCTTTTTAAGAGCCTGAACAAAATTCGGACCTTCGGAACAACTGGTTTGTGAAAAGAGCTTACAGTCTATGGAAAAAACGTATTAAACTGGAAAATACTGGGAATTGGGATCTGGTTGGGACTGGGACTGGGACTGTCATAATTGAACAAAGCAGGCATGTTCGTTCCGTTCATCCTTTCATGTAAAGCGACGAAAGAAATTAAGATTTATGAAGGTGTAAAGGCTGTTTGTAAATTAGATTTGTCAAAATGTTATTAAAGGGTTTGTTTTGGTTCGTTTTAGTGTAACGTTTACTGAGCTATCCAAAGTAAGACTGCACCTGATCCCTAAGTTCCTCATACTTATGAATCTATAGGAAATACATCACGTTTTTCTTAAATTAATTTAAATATTCATATTTGCGTCTAACAGTATAGTCTTGCCAACGTTTAACACACTTTTAGCATTGATTTGGCTATCTTGAGTCATATTTTCTAGTAGCATCTCATTGCAGTACACGAGATCTAGGGGGCGGAGTTGGATCCAGATCTAAGGGGTGGAGATGGATAGGATTAGGGGTGGGGTTAGGGATCAGGGGGTGGAGATTCAGTACATTGAGTGCATATTAATTAAAACATTTACTAGTATAAGGATTGTTTTGTGCAGCTATTGATTAAATAACTTTAATAACGATTAATCTATGCAATGCCAACTGTTTGATAACTTTATTTAATTTCTGTATAGCCGATTTCCTATACATGTTTGACAAATATTTAAATATACGCTTTTTCTGCATTAATTTGCAGATTAACTGTGAAATTACATTGCAAAATGTGTTAAAAACGTAAGATTTTTTAATGCCGATTAATCGCGATTAATCATACTTTTTTTTTATTAAATTAGTTTATTTTTGCAGTCGATAAAATATTCATGTTTGTTTTTATTGAATATTATGTATTTGTTTATGTTAATATCTGCACAATGAATGTGTAATTAGCCTGCCTCTGCCAGCCAACCATGAGACTTCATATCCATTGTTCCAATAAACATGGACTGTGGTCAAAGGCTAAAGTTCTCTTTATACAATTTAAGCGATGGCAATATCTCACATACTATCAGTAAGTATGCTTTTACAGAGGCTGCTCATCTTTACAGTGCTGGCTGTGGCACTTCATGCTGTGAGTGATTTTCTGTATTTTAATTTACCCTTTATAACATTATACTTTAACAGGCTTTGGTCCCTATTGCTTATGCAATTATCTGGATATCTACAGTGATTGATATCTCTAAATGCATTGAGATTAATCATATTCCTGCCATGACTTTCAGATTCCAGTTTCCACTCGTATTCATGGTAAGATTGATGATTTTTATTAAATACTGTAAGTTATACATTTTTTGATTTCATTCATCTAAATAAATGTTTATTTATTACAGAGGTTGAAGATGAACCAAATTTCAACCCTTTCATCAACCTTGGTAAATTGTTTTATACATTATATTGCAAAACACAGAGGCAACAAAGTTCATTTTAATGCTACTGTACATTCAAAGAAATACTTTAGTTTGATTACTTTGCAAAATAGTGCAAAAATGCATTATTTTAATACTAAACATTTTTTTTAACTTGTTTGTCAGGAGCAAAAACCCGACTGATTGAGGGAGACATAGCCCTACCCGTAAGTGCACATGCCATGTCATAATTCAGTTTTGTTGCACATGCTGAAATCTTCTTAATGATATCTATCACTGTCATTGATTTATGAAAGTGTCTATTAAAACCTATATCCTTTTACAGCCTGGTCGAATTGGTCTTATTAACACAACTTACAGATGGAAGTTCCCTATTCCATACATTCTGTCTGACAGCCTGGGTAAGTGATATTCACTTGTTTTCCAAATTGTTCAAAAACAAAAACGGACTAATTTGTGTTTATATAATACTGATTTTCTTCATGGATAAATTCTCCCCATTTTACACAGACCTTAACGCAAAAGGTGCGGTCCATCAGGCATTTGAAATGTACCGTCTAAAGTCGTGTGTTGATTTCAAACCCTATGAGGGAGAGAAGACATTTATCAAATTTGAGAAAAGAGATGGGTATGTGTGCAGTCAAACATTGCGAATAAAATTTCTGTTATAACATCAGAATATATATGTTGAGCATGAGCACATCCACAGAATTTTACCATAAATTCAGTTAATCTGGGCCTGATAAAACGTGTGTATGATATAATAATAAGCTAATGATTTCTAATGATGGCGTTTTAGCAAATGGGATTCCGCCATCAGACAAGATCGTATAGTATAAAACAAAGGAAGTCACACTAACAGGACTTGTAATTGCTGTAGGTGCTGGTCCTATGTTGGAGATCTACAGAATGGGCAGGTGCTTTCTCTGGGGCCGGGCTGTGACCATAAGGCTGTGATTGAGCATGAACTTCTGCATGCCCTGGGCTTTTACCATACACAGTCTCGCCAGGATCGAGATGACTATGTGAAGATCTGGCTAGATCAGGTCACTGAAGGTTAGTTTATTTGTTTCGCATTATTTCCTGTGTAGTTTAATATTCATTACTTACTCGTACAATTTTGCATGTGACTTTTATTTATAACATGATGTTTTTGTTTCTAGGCATGGAGCATAATTTCAACAAATACGACGACAGTTTTGTCACAGATCTAAATACACCATATGACTACGAGTCTGTCATGCATTATCGTCCGTTTGCTTTCAACAAAGACCCCAGTATTCCTACCATCACAACCAATATCCCAGAGTTCTTCAACATCATAGGGCAATACCTGGACTTTAGTGAGATGGATGTTGTCAGACTGAATCGAATGTACAACTGCTGTAGGTTATAAATATTCATATAGAAATATCAATGCATATATTAATGTTTAAAAAATATATACAATATATATATATACATTTTTGTCCCCAGCCTCTTCTCTTACCCTGCTGGACCAGTGCACTTTTGAAAACATAAACATTTGTGGGATGGTACAGAGTTTGACTGACGATGCTGATTGGGTCCATCTTAAGAGCTCTCCTGGCTCCGAGGATCATACTCTCAATGGACAATGCAGAGGTTATAAATCTCCATTGCCTGAAATGGCTGAAGTTTAAATAACTTAATTTAAATAACTTTTTATTTTATTTTTAGATTTAGGGTATACCATGCATTTTGACACCTCCACTGGAAATGCAGAACAATCCGCTCTCCTTGAGTCCCGCATCCTATATCCTAAGAGAAAGATGCAGTGCCTGCAGTTTTTCTACAAAATGACAGGCAGTGTAAAGGACAGCCTAGTGATTTGGGCCAAGATGGATGATGGAACAGGAACCGTGCGAAAACTAAAGAAACTGCATACAATCTGGGGTAATTTTTTCCTTTTTGAATTTGAACTACTTGTATCTTAGACTCCTAAAACTAAAGTAAGAACCAGTGGAAACATTCCATTCTGCTAAAGGCTCTTTAGATTTTCATCTACCGCTGAGAAAAAATGGTTCTTTTAAGAACTGTTCACTGAAAGACTCTGTGGGGAACCAAAAGCCCCAATTTGTAGGTGTAAATTGCAGGAAAGCTTTAAGATTTTACATGTGTAATTTTAACCCTCTGATGGACCTTGTCACGTATGACCGAATAATTTACTGTTTTGAATTTAAAAAAATCACAGCTTCATTGGAAGGTTATGATACTTGGTGACTTTTCTGGCAAAAAAAAAAAAAAAAAAAAAAATTGAGGTCATGATCCGAGCATGCTAAGTGGTGGTAAAAAAAAAAAATAGTCACAATTTTGGTCTTCGGTCAAAATCAAAATGACCCCCATAGGAAATGAATGGGAAACACTTTTTTTATCACTATTTCTTAAAAAAATAAATAAATCTTAAACTTAATAAGAAATCGTTTTTGAGATTATTTTAAATATTTATTCAAATCCACCAAAAAAATGTGTTCATAAACAGCTGGTGAATTCACATGCCTCTCCATAGAGAGCTGTACATGTCATCTAGTGGTTACACCATGGTTCTACGCTTTTTCTCTATACTGTAACCAGATGGTGCTAATTTTCTTCAAAAAAGAAGAAAATTCCTAGACTCTATATTAAACTAAAATACTACATTAATAATAAAAATAAAAAACAATATATATATTTTTTTTTCATGGCAAAAATAGACCATAAATATTGCATAAATATTAATAAATTCAATCGAATTGTCTCAAAATTCTAAATTAAAAAGAATAAATATTATAGAACAAAAATAAATTGCATTGGTTATTACTGGGATGGAGGAGGTTTCGTTTTTTAAGAGTTCGGTCACTTCTGAACCAGGACGTGACTCCTAAATGAAGACCATCAGAGGGTTAAATCAACATTTCATGTCCACACATTCATGTATTAATTTAGTGAGTGACTGTATAATAATCAAAATAATGTGCGTAATCATTATCCCTTCAATTATCCTTTATGTTATCCTTTATTATAAAATGAATGTGGTGATAACAAAAGGCTTATCTTACCCAGCTGACGAAGACGAAACATGGAAGATTGCTCATGTGCCATTGCAGATGGGAGCAAAATTCCGCTATGCATTCCAGGCAGTGAGAGGAGACCCTCCCAACTCTGGAGGAGGCATATTCATCGATGACATCAGCCTGACAGAGACCCACTGCCCAGCCGCTGTCTGGCGCATCCAGAACTTCTCGAGCATCCTGAAAACAGCCGACTACAACACCGTGCTGAACAGCCCTCGTTTCTACAGTCCTGAGGGTTACGCTTATGGGATTCAAGTACGCCCAATCTCTAGCTACTCCGATTACACAGGCAACTACACTGGTTTGTACTTCCATCTGGCCAGTGGGGACAATGACATTGTGATGCAGTGGCCGGCTGTGAACCGCCAGGCCACCATAGTGGTGATGGACCAGGATCCAGACATTAAGCTGAGGATGTCCTCTGCTCGTAGTCTCACCACTGACTTGGCCACAGGTATGTGATGATGGCTTCTATTGTGATATATGTGAATATATATGTGATATAACTTGTTCTTTTTGTATTCCTGGTCTTTAGTCAATGGAGACCAACTAATATGGGACAATCCAAGAAAGTTTGGGACCTTTGACCCAAGCTGCCAGTGTTATCGAGGAGAGTCAGTGGGATGGAGGAGTTTCATAAAACACTACGACTTACGCAGACGGAATTACCTGAAAAATGATGACCTCATCATCTTTGTTGACTTTGAGGGTACGTTTACACTGAGGAACACATTCTGTCTTAGACATTAATAGTGTTACTGTCTAATAATTTGGTTTTGTGTGTCTCTTTAAAGACTTAACAAGCATGATAAAGAGTGAAGTTCCGGTTGCACCAAAGGTTTGACACCGATAAGTGTGTAAGTGAGCTCTGATACCATAAATACAGCAGTTTTATTCTTTCAGAACAAAAGGACTTCCAATAAGCTTTAGTTTACACTTTATTTCGATAGTCCTCTTTAGAAATTCTACTAAATACAAATAACTTTGCAACCACATGTCAACTAACTCTCATTCATTTGCAATATGTCAACAGCAACAACAACAAAAATTCACTAGAGTAAAGTAGACTTTTAGGTCATGCTTAGTACTTGCAAAATAACTTATAGTCAGTAGAATGTCTGTTGGGAGAGCGTTGAAATAAAGTGCAATCAGCAGATATTAAACAGACAATCTGCTAATACTCGAATAACTAGTTGACATGTAGTTTCAATATACGTATATATTATTCAGGAAAATATCTAAAGTGGACTATCGAAATAAAGTATTACCACTTAAGTGTTATTGGGTTATGAGCTTATGATCTTGGTTTATGACTGCTTTTGATCTACCAATAACTGATCAAGAGACAATCAGTAGTTTGATAATTGACATACAGTATGATATGTTTGTTAAACTGTATGAGAGAATTGACCTTTTTCATATCCTGAAACAGGTGTCAGTCTGAAGAGAGAAAGCTGTGTGAATTGTGGAGAACATCATCTTAAAATGCAATTGTTATTACTACAAAAATGTGTTTGATATGCTCACTCTGTACTCTAACTTTTTAAACATTCCCAATAAAGTCTAAAATTAAACTCTTTTACCAAACGTCATTAATATGTCAATAATTGTGAATATCTTACACATCTGAAGTGATACAATAATGTGCGCCGATAAATCATTCATAATAAATACTGTAACATTTCATGAAAATAGAAGAATTGACGATTTTGATTTCATTGGTGACTTTAAAGCACAAAAGCTTATGTGTAAAAGGACTTTTTGATATCCGATCTATCCGATACATGCATGCAGTTGAAACCTTGTTAGTTTTCATTGTGCACTTTACTGTTAAAAATGGAATAATATCTTAATCTTATCTGAAATCTGATATGACTGTGTTGACCTATGTTGCAGTGCTGAGGTTATACTCATCTTCATATATTGGCCTGCAGTAAACCTTTAACTCATTCCTCTTATCTTTTATTTTGAGAAGATCGGATATCAAGGAGTCCTTTTACACATAAGCTTTTGTGCTTTAAAGTCACCAATGAAATCAAAATCATCAATTCCTCTTTTTTAATGAAATGTTACAGTATTTATTATGAATGATTTATTGGCGCACATTATTATTATAGTTAAATTTACGTGCCCTCGTAATCTTTAATCAAAACTTCCCCTCCCACTTGCAACAACATCTCTTCTCTTCTCTTCTCTTCTCTTCTCTGATGATATGTTTAATGGAGGGTAGGACAACCTATAACTCACATGACATCACAATAGCAAACCAATGATCCAACAATGATTCACTCAGATATACATCACAGTAGAGAAGAAAAGCCTATCACAACTTCTGTTCCTTGCTGACTTTAAAAAAAAAAAAAAAAATAGGTCACCAAATATATTTTTTTTAATTCAGGAACGTGTTGTTGTGATTTTGCATTTTTACTAATTCAAGCATAATGTGTGTTTTTCTAAGATTTCAGTTTTTAGTTTAGCCCATTAAATACAACATTGCTGCTAATGTAAATAATTCTGAATCACATTTTTCTTTGCTCTTCAGATGTTATAAGCGACACAATGTAAATATATCTATTTTGAGAGATTGAATTCATGATTCTGTTATCATAAAGAAGGATAAAGATAAGGGAGAAAGAGATAAAGATAGATATAGAAGAGCTGATGCATGCAGTAAACAGACACTTCACCATACACATGACAGGCCACTAACCAACTGGTCTGTGTTACTTCACCTGGTAATTGTATGTGCTTCTCAGATCAAAGTTCTTCTCCAACTCTGACTTTACTGGTATGTTTATAAGTGCGCGAAACCCTGTTGTCGTCTCCTGGTTAACATGGACTCCGTGTGGAGAATCATTCTCTTCATAGTTCTTCTCATGTTCAAGGTATTTTAAACTTTATCATTATTCATTTCTAAATGTAAAAACGTCTTGACATTTTGAGTTATGGTAAAGCAAACAATTCCAATGAAAATGTATTAATCTAATCAATAATCGATCTATCTTGCAGGTGCATGCCCTTCCAACAGAATATGGTACAATATTTTAGACATTTTAAAGATTTAAAGTTTAATTCGAATTTTATCTTCATAGAGCTTCTTACAAGTTTGTATGCTTTATTAAATATTAGGCAAGGATGCAGATGCAGGTGAATTACGGGAGGACATTCTTGAAATCAATTTAGGTCAGTAAAAATACATTTATAGAAAAGTTTGCCATACAAATGTAAGGTTTTTTAAATGCAATATAATCTTATTATACATATATTTGTCAGTTCAAAGTATCTGAATTGAAACATTTCAGATTCCCAGAGAGATTTGTTTGAAGGAGATATTGCTGGAGATGTAAGTCTTTCTTTTTTTTTTAAACAAATGTCGGTTGTCCAAATCTACTGCCTTTTGTTTTGTTATCTTATTTTATATTCAATATTTTAATTCCTAAAACGAACTCTTATCTTAGCCACGAAGAAATGCAATATTAGATGAAAAAGCAAGATGGGAGTTTCCCATTCCATACATACTCACAGATAGTTTGGGTGAGATTATTTATTATTTTCAAATGCAAAATCAACTGATTCCAGGATGAGAATATTCATAGCTTCTCTTGTTTAGATCTTAATGCAAAAGGAGTGATTCTTCAAGCATTTGAAATGTATCGTCTCAAGTCTTGCGTGGACTTCAAGCCCTATGAAGGAGAGAGCACCTATATTTCTTTCACAAAGCTGGATGGGTAAGTAAAAATCAGCCTGGGGTGATTTTCCCAAAAGCATTGTGAGGCTTGCAACAATGCTTTTGGAAAATGCAGTTTTGTTTTTGTGTTTGTTACAGATGTTGGTCATTTGTGGGAGATTTAAAGAGCGGCCAGAACGTCTCCATAGGGGACAGATGTGACACCAAGGCCATCGTAGAGCATGAACTTCTCCACGCACTGGGTTTCTACCATGAACAGTCTCGCTCTGACAGAGATGACTATGTTCAAATTTGGTGGGATCAAATCATTCCAGGTTATTTGCATCTATTTTAATTATAAAAGTGCATCATGAATCTCTCTTTTAGTTTGGCGCAAATTTGTGATTTGCAGTGCAAAAATGGGGAAGGATGGAACAAATGTAATGCCACTTTCCTTTTGTCATCCAAATTTGTTCAGGAAAGGAGCACAATTTCAATAAGTATGAGGATGATTTTATAACCGATTTGAACACGCCCTATGATTATGAGTCCATCATGCACTACAGGCCTCTGTCTTTCAACAAGGACCCTGATGTTCCCACCATAACCACTACCATCCCTGCCTTCAATAACGTAATAGGACAGCGCTTAGACTTCAGTGCTCTTGATTTGGAAAGACTGAATCGCATGTATGACTGTTGTAAGTTCTGATGTAACAACTGCCTCCGGCTCTTACAAACATTACAAACAATGCTTGACATATTTCGTGCATGAAAAAACATTCCATACTCGCAGTATTGCCATATCAACTTGGTTTCTTTCAGCTGCAACCCACACTCTTCTGGATCAATGTGCCTTTGAGCAGATCAACATTTGTGGAATGATTCAGTATGATGAAGATGATGCTGACTGGGTCCAGACTTTGAGCTCTACAGATGTAAAGGACCACACACTTGCAGGAAACTGCAGAGGTAATTTCAGTTGAACACTTTTGTTTATAGAATAAAACATTGTCAGGGTAAAATAAAAAATAAAATGTAATATAAAATAATTAAATAAAAGGTACAAACTATTTGAAATTATTTTCTTAATATTTAAAGTGAGATGACGTGAAGGCCAAGTATACTAACACACCTGGAGCCGTGGGCATTGCTTACCTTTGCTGTGGTGCCCCGGTGTGCAATTGGGGGTCTTGCTCAAGGGAACCTTACACTCTCAGAAAAAAAGGTACAAAAGCTGTCACTGTGGCAGTACCTTTTCAAAAGGTACACTTTTGTACCTAAAGGGTACATATTGGTACCTTAATGTACACATTAGCACCTAAAATGTACATATTAACACCTAAAATATACATATTAACACCTAAAATGTACATAATAGCACCTAAAATGTACATATTAGCACCTAAAATGTACATAATAGCACCTAAAATGCACATATTAGCACCTAAATTTCCGCACCTAAAATGTACATAATAGCACCTAAAATTTACATATTAGCACCTAAAATGTACACATTAGCACCTAAAATGTACATAATAGCACCTAAAATGGACATATTAGCACCTAAAATGTACACATTAGCACATAAAATGTACATCCAAAAAAAATTGACATATTAGCACCTAAAATGCACATATAGCACCTACATGTCCATATTAGCACCAAAAATTGACATATTAGCACTTAAAATGGACATATTATCACCTAAAATGCACATATAGCACCTACATGTCCATATTAGCACCAAAAATGTACATATTAGCACCTAAAATTTACATATTAGCACCTAAATATCCATATTAGCACCCAAAATACATAATAGCACCTAAAATGTACATATTACCACCTAAAATGGAAAAACGTTTACCTTTTGAAAAGGTACAACCCCAGTGACAGCTTTTGTACCTTTTTTTCTGAGAGTGTATGGCGCTTTTCCACTGCTGGTACGGCTCGGTACGACTCAGTACGGTTCGGCACGGCACAGTTTGGCTCGCTTCGCTTTTCCACTGCGTGGTACGACTCGGCTCGTCGCTCGTTGCTTTTCCACTGCAGTTAGTACCGCTTAAAAGTGGGTGGGATTATGGACTGATCGATAACAGAGGTGGCTGTTACTGGCTATTTAAATCTAGCGGGTTTGGTTTCTCGTGTCGATGTCTATTGGTTGCAAATACAATGACGCTGGTACTGACGATTCTGTCTGACCAATCAGTGATCTGCAGTGCTTCACGTCACATTTAGTACTGGTACGGTACGCTTGGAACCTCAACAGACCAGGTACCATTTAAAGCGAGGCGTACCGTACCGTACCTTGCGGTGGAAAAACGCCACAAGTGAGCCGTACCGAGTCGAGCCTTACCGTACCATGCAGTGGAAAAGGGTCAAAGCATGCTGTACCCTAAAAGCGTGCCGTACCGAACCGTACCATGCAGTGGAAAAGCACCAATAGTCATTTTCTGCCGGTGTGGAGAATCAAACCCATAACCTTTGGGTTACCAATCTGACTCTCTAACCATTTGGCCATGCATGACTGCCCCAAATTTGATCTATCTCAAAGACTATCACAAGTTACTCTTAATTTGAATAAATTATTTCTGTATTAGTAAACTAGTTAGAATTTCCTTATGTGACAACAATATTCAATATATTATATGTAGCCAGCCATTGAATTCTGTTTTGCATAAACAATGTTTTATCATTAGATGCAGGCTATTTTATGAAGTTTGACACCGCTAACAAGGCTAAGGGACACTCAGCTTTGTTGGAGTCACGGATTCTTTACCCCAAGAGAAACCAGCAGTGCCTCGAGTTCTTCTACAAGATGACTGGGGACTCTGGTGACCAGCTCATCATTTGGGTCAGAAGGGATGATGGAACTGGCACTGTTCACAGAGTCAAAAAAGTTCACACAATCACAGGTCAGTTATGGCCAAACGTTACGGTATGTGCACCCTAATACATATGCATATATATATATATATATATATGAAGAGTTCAGATGCAAAAGCCTCTAAGTGCCATTTGAAATTTTCTTCTTTAATGATGATTTTTATCAAACTTGTATATTTAAGTTCAGTAATTTCACTTAAATGGCAATGATAATTACCTATTAATTGTTATTTAAGTGAAATTACTGAACTTAAATATACAAGTTTGATAAAAATCATCATTAAAGAAGAAAATTTCAAATGGCATTTAGAGGCTTTTGCATCTGAACTCTTCATATATAGACATATAATATATATAACAAATCTTATCTGTCTGTTTTTTTAGTTTTTTATTTAGCCGCATAATAGAACTATATTAATGCCCAGCTCTAAACAGCTAAAAGCAACTGTAGAGCATGGCGATATCAACATTAACATCATGTTTTTCTATGAAGCTGCTTTGTGCAAACAACTGATTTGTCTTGACTACTGACAATTGACTCAGAATATCTCTTCTGATAGCCTACTATGATTATGCATTAGATTTTGAATACTGTGCACCTCTTTGATTTCTTCAGGGGATGGGAATGAGTCATGGAAGATTGCACACGTCACTCTAAATGTTGAGGAAAAGTTCCGGTACTTCTTTCAGGGTATTGTTGGCTCCAACAAAACATCAGGAGGGATCTTTATAGATGACATTACTCTGACTGAGACATCATGCCCAAATTCTGTCTGGAGGATTCAGAACTTCACCAGTCTCCTTAATACTATCCCACAGGGTGACAGAGTTCAGAGTTCTCGATTTTACAACTCTGAGGGTTACGCTTATGGAATTAATGTGTATCCAAATGCCAGGAATAACTCGGCTGAAAAATTTGTTGGGATCACTTTTCACCTCTTCGCTGGTGAGAATGATGCAGTATTAGAATGGCCTGCAGCGAATCGACAGGTCACTATTACGGCTATGGATCAAAATCCAGACACAAAACTTCAAATGTCTAACAGCAGAAGCTTCACCACTGGTGCGTTTTTCTATCTATCTATCTATCTATCTATCTATCTATCTATCTATCTATCTATCTATCTATCTATCTATCTATCTATCTATCTATCTATCCATCCATCCATCCATCCATCCATCCATCCATCCATCCATCCATCCATCCATCCATCCATCCATCCATCCATCCATCCATCCATCCATCCATCCATCCATCCATCCATCCATCCATCCATCCATCCATCCATCCATCCATCCATCCATCCATCCATCCATCCATCCATCCATCCATCCATCCATCCATCCATCCATCCATCCATCCATCCATCCATCCATCCATCCATCCATCCATCCATCCATCCATCCATCCATCCATCCATCCATCCATCCATCCATCCATCCATCCATCCATCCATCCATCCATCCATCCATCCATCCATCCATCCATCCATCCATCCATCCATCCATCCATCCATCCATCCATCCATCCATCCATCCATCCATCCATCCATCCATCCATCCATCCATCCATCCATCCATCCATCCATCCATCCATCCATCCATCCATCCATCCATCCATCCATCCATCCATCCATCCATCCATCCATCCATCCATCCATCCATCCATCCATCCATCCATCCATCCATCCATCCATCCATCCATCCATCCATCCATCCATCCATCCATCCATCCATCCATCCATCCATCCATCCATCCATCCATCCATCCATCCATCCATCCATCCATCTATCCATCTTTGATTTCACATTGCAGCATCAATGAATTTTGAATGATTTAATGACCCCCATTAATCCCTCCCTTAGATTCTGACATTCGGTGGAGTAAACCATCTACGGTTGGAGAATGGGACGACAGCTGCTTTTGCTTCAGAGGTCCAGAGTTTGGTTGGGCCACTTTCATCTCACACGATCAGCTCAATAGGCGGGACTTCCTCAAGAACGATGACCTGATCATCACTGTTAATTTCGATGGTAATTTCGATCAACTGTTCCACCCATCACTATAATCAGTTTGTTTACATCTATTGGGATAAATATGTTAATTGTTTAAAGTGTGTTTTACTTTAACAACCAGATTTGACACATCTTGTAAAATCTGAAGTTCCAACCAAGCTCCAACTCTCAAGCAACCCCCAGCCTGCAGAAGAAAGCTTTGAGAGCCCGAAAGTCCGAGAGCGACGAGCGATCAGCGACCCATGTCAGCCAAACCCCTGCCGTAATGGAGGAGCTTGTGTCGTACTTCAGGGGATGGCAACATGCAGGTTAGTGCAGATCTTAGCGTGTTTAATTATAAAAGCACAGTTTGTTGCTTAAAAATGAAAAAAATGCTCGTCTTCTGTAGATGTGTCTCTGGACAGGCCATTGTGTACACAGGAGACACTTGTGAGAAACAGCACTTTGATGGAGGAATTCTGGGAGTTTTGATCGGTGGTGCTGCAGGAACTGTAGTTCTTACTGTTGCCATTATAGCGGTGATCTACAGGCAGAACTAAACCTATTTCATCATATTTGACATCTGAATAACCACTCTGTGATAAGCAAAAAGAAAATAATTTTTATTGATGAACCATCTTACAATAGTATACCCAAGAACTTTTATTGATAATAAAACTTGTATTATTAACAATCTCATCTCTCTTTTTGTTTCCATATCCCTTTACTGTACATGAAAAAAGGAAATTGGTCTAACCAAAAAAAAAAAACAAACAAACAAAAAAACATTAATTGATAAGCTCAAGCAGAGTGCATAGATGTATTAAATTATCTTTGGTTCATCAGATATTGTCAGAATTTCTAAATAGCAGAAAATGGTGTCATAGTTCCATATGTTTAGCAAAATAGAAGCAGAGCTAAAACTAATCAGATTACAACCAAGGTAAGTGACCACATTTTACATTGCATTTAAAGAGACAGACATTTTCATAGGACGTTTAGAACTGCTTTAAATTAAAGACAACAACAATCAGGGTATCGCTCCATATATACAGCAGCACCTTATATTGTTCTTTTGAAAACACAAACACGAACATCTATTATATATTTTTGATTCTCTTGGTTTGTTCCTAAGTTTATGCAGTAAGTAAAAAGGGACGACCACAGCCTATAGGCCTACTTTGTTTCAAAGATGTTAAGTCTTTACAAAAAGAACTTTTAGGTCTTCACCAAACAGTTGTGCCTCCTCTCCTCTTTTTGTTTCTGCTGTGGGTTCAGAGGTGGATAAATGTTCTATGCTCCTTCTGCAATACAAATCAGAAAAACTTTCATTAAAGAAAATTTTGTCTTCAAGTAGGCTAAATTAGCTGCCTTTGAATTGAGGAACTTTGCATAATTGACACTGTTATTGAATCAACATTTAAACTAAACTGAGCAGAACAATGACACTATTATCCTCCGTAGAGCTGCTTTACAGTTGAAATAGAAGTTGTTTCATAATTGATTAAATCTGTATAAAAAGCATATATATATATATATATATATATATATATATATATATATATATATATATAGGTATAAATATACGTCATATAGTGACACTTTTGAAATTTCGTCTAAATCCAACGTACATGGCACCCTTTAGCGTCAATATAACACGCTGTGGTAAGTTTAGTTCTGGGATAGGTTTAGGGTTACACCACTAGGAGGCGCCTTCTGGTCCATATATATCTGCGTCTCATATTGACGCTAAAGGGTGCCATGTGCGTTGGATGGAGACGAAATGTCAAAAGCGTCACGCCTTGGGATGAGAACGGCTGAATATATAAATAAAAGTGATTTAATTTAAATCTTCCTCACATAATAATTCCTGGTTATAAAATCAAACAAGGGAATTAATCTGTATTCTAAACTCACCATGTGTGCATCCATTTGTGTGGATCATTTATTTTGCGGTGGATGTTGCTGTTCCTTGTTCTTTTCCAGATTTCTGGGGGTGGAGTTGGGGGGGTTATTATAATGTTATATTACATAATGTTATTTTAAAATATTTTTTCTTTTATTTTAACAGTACATTGTGCATTTAATATTTGTATTCTAGTTTTTCACTCAAATTGATTACATTTTTTTAACATGGGTTCCCCAGAACTCACCCCGAGAACTATTTTTAATATTTCATCTCGGACCTGTAGGAAAAAGAAAGAAACAGGTAAGTGTTCTGCGGTCCTAACGAACATCTTTTTAATGTCAATTGCTTACCCTTTTTTCTGCAAAACATCCTGTCAACAAGATGAAGAAGCCCTAGAAGGTATAAATGATAGAGGCATTAGGTATAAATGAATCAATATATAAGTTGTACTATTTAAAGTGTAAAAAAAAAATGTGTAGAGACAGGAGTACCTGCAGGGAGTTGACTATGGTGAACGCGTAATGCACTACGTATGTAATAAACTGCGTAAAGTCGTCCATCAGAAACACAAAAATCCCCAGAATCCAAGTCCCACCAAAAATAGGAGTGAGAAAGATAATCACTTTGATTATGCTTTTTGCTGCATCATTGTCCCCCTTTTTGTTGGTCTCAGCTCCAGACGGCTTTAAAACCGTCACAATGACCACCACCATGGAAGCCAAGTTCACCAGCACTATGGTCCCAACTGGAAAGAGAAATGCATGGATGGATCCCTGCATGGCTGACTGATAGGTAAGCCAGCATGTTTTCGTGCTGTAATACGGGATGTCAGTCGCTTGATCGTAGTACACGTATGTAACCGCCACAGTCACTGTCGGACAAACATAGCCAATGGTGAATCCGAGGATCATGTACATCTTTTTCCCAATGTGGCTGAAGACGAAAATGAGCTGGTGGACCAACATGATACTCAGGCACAGCATCCAAAAGAACATCGCCAGGAAGAAGTAATGCTTAGCCACCACCAAAATAAGGCATATGGTGTCATTTAGGATTGACGGGAAAGAGGAAGCTAAGAAGCTGCAGTCGGCCAAAAGCAGACACAGAGAGATGTTGAGGAGTGAAGTGTGCCGGAAGTGAGAGAGGGCGGATTTAACTACGGCGCTCCAGACCAAACACTCGATGATGATATAGATGATGAGAGAGCATATGGAGATTCCCAGTCCGATGTATGTGAGCTGATCTAGAAAAGGCATGCTTACTGCATGCTTGGACATGAGCATGGAGAAGGAGGTGAGATGGTTGCATTCACAGAAGGCGGTGTTCCCAGGACCTTGGACGAAATCGCAACCTTCGTCTGACCATCTATCCTCCGAGACGTTCCAAAACACACATTGCATCGTGGCACTGACGCCCTCGTCATTGGGAAAAGCCAGTCTGATGTTCACCGAAGGCTGAGTGTTGTTCACAACTGTGCTGGATACGACTATGCTAGGAAACAATGCCTCCTCATAACCCAATTTTGGCAAGCGGTTGGCCAAGTTCTGTAATCCCACTGTTTTCACCATTGCTGCTGTTGCGTTCAGCTCAACTTCCACGTTGAAAACGGTTTTGTTGCAAGTCGGACCGCTTCGGCAGATCTGAAGCTGAATGTTTGTGGAGTTGTAGCCCTCACTGTTGTTTATGTTGATGCTGTTTACAAGGCCTTCGACAGATGACAGATATTGTACGGCCAGTGAATTGCTCTCTTCCTCATCTCCCCCATCCCAGGTTACGTTCAACATGCTGCTGGCTGATTCGAGGAAATCCTTCAAAGAGAACAGATTTTCGACTGAAACAGCAAATATCTCAAAGCAGCACATTCTCACACCCAGCCTGTCACACACTGACACTTGGTCAGGAATTTTATTTGCATTTTTTTCTTGAGAATTTACTGCATCTAGACATGTTTGAACATGTAACCAAACCCCACACCTAAACCTACCCATTTGTATGATATAAGACACAGGATATATCAGGCATATACGACTACAAGCACAATGTATTAAAAAAGAGCAAAGGCCAAACGCTTGATTTGTGTGAAGAAATACTCCCATGCTAAAGTTGACTAAAAAGAGGAATACAAAAAAATCTTCTTTTGGAAAATTGATCTTAATGCCTTAAAAATGGGGAAAACACCAATTTTCTTTGTGAATGAATAATGTATCGTAAATAAATAAATGATCTTCCTTAAAATACAGGGTTTATATATGTTAAATTCCCATAGAGGCAGGCAGATTTTTATTTCAGTTTTTATTTAATGGATGCAGGATATGCATCATGATAAAGTTTCCTGGGCCTTTGGAATTAAAATAGCCCCACATCATCATACCCTTCAGCATACGGGGTACTTTCCATAAAATCATCTCTCAATGCAATTCAAACCAGCTATTAGGCAAACTGAAATAAAACCGTGCCAATCTCTAGGTATGCTGAAGGGTATGTGATGATGTGGGACAATTTTAATGGAAAAACATTATTTAATTATTTCATTACATTATTTCGCCGTTAGATGGCAGCAAAGATGGTCTTTATGATTGAGTCAGTCAGTATCCGTCCCAAATAGTATTCGAAAAAAGAATTAGTACGTCCCAAATCGTAGTATGTTGAAATCAGAGCCGTTAAATTTGAGAGTTCAAACACCCTTTGATCTCGCGCGGTCACGTGGTTTGTGACGTGTAGCCGTCAACCAGTTTGAAAGATTTGTTTTAAGCGGGGCAGACAGCTGCAGCTGTATTTGCAGCAATTAATGGTAAATATTGACGCACAATGTACATTGTTTATTATATTGTATTATATAGACCATTTCACAAGATGTAAACAACACTGGTCCAGAAACACTGTTTCAGTTTGTAACTGTTTTCTTTATTTCGCATGTAAAGAAAACATCTTAAAGATGTTGGTTTAACTTTTTGATTCAGTTTTTAATGTTCTGTTGGTTGTATTTTATCCCAGCTTTTACTGTATGTAGTGTTAAAAAACTGAAACAGGAAGTGCTTCTGGACCAGTGTTGTTTACATCTTGTGAAATGGTCTATACATTTACATATATATTACTTTAAATGCATATATTAGCATTTTATTTCTTGGGAGTGACAGAAACACAGCATTAATGCGTTTTTGTGTTTAATTTTGAAGGGAAATGGACTGAGCGGAAGAAGATGGATGGATGGATGGATGGAAATGGACTGCTCCCATGACATGACGTAGAATACATTAACAGCAACGACTATGCACCAATATTCGGTAAAATTTTAACTTAATAAAATGATAAAATGATAATAAAACTGGAGAGATAGTTAATGAGTGAATTAACTATGTTCCTAAATAGGCTATGATCCATAACAAATGTAACTGTTATGTTTTTAACATAGGATCCATAGGCTAACTGTTAATAAATATATATTTAAATCACACATAACTTACCCTAACCCATACACATAATATATTAATTGTCTATGTGTGTGTGTGTGGGTGGGTGTGTGTATATATATATGTATATATATGTATGCATAGAGGTTCACCGATTACAATTTTTTAGGTCGATCCCGATTCCCAATTTTTATTGAGTTTGACCTGCTGATACCGATTTTGATTTTATTTTTCTAACCACTTTTTTATTTTTAACAACACAAATATTTATTTTCTATTTTTCTGTTTTAATAAAGCACCATATACTTTTACTCAAACACATTAATAAAAACAAGTTTAAATTTTCTTTTCTGACATAGCCTACTCCAGTTCTTG